TAGGTCCATCCATCCTGTAGCAAATGGTAAGATTTTATTCTTTTTTATGGTCCTACCATATTCCATTGTATATACACACCACAGCTTTTTTTTATCCGCCCCTCTATTGATGGGCACTTGGACTACTTCTATAGCATGGCTAATGTAAATGATGCTACAATAAACATGGAGGTTCATATATTCTTTTGAATTAGTGTTTTAGGTTTCTTCAGATACATGCCCAGAAGTGGAATTTCTGGGTCATAAGGCAGTTCTGTTTTTATCTTTTTAGGAACCTTCACAGTTTCCCACAGTGGCTGCACCAGTCTGCATTCCCACCAACAGTGCACGAAGGTTCCCTTTTCTCCCCATCCTCACCAGCATTTATTGTTTGTTGATTTATTGATGAGTGCCATTCTCTCATCAGAGAGATGATATCTCATTGTGTGTTTAATTTGCATTTCTCTGGTGTTTAATGCCATTGAGCATCTTTCCATATGTCTATTGACCTTCTGTATGCCCTCTTTGGTGAAGTGTCTATTCAGATCCTTTTCCCATTTTTTAATTGGATTGTTTGGGTTTGTTTCTGTTTTTTGTTTTTGTTTTTGGTGTTGAGTTGTATGATTTCTTCATAAATTTTGGATGTTAATCCCTTATCAGATGTATCATTGGTGAACATGTTCTCCCATTCAGTGGGTTGTCTTTCAATTTTCTGATGGTTTCCTTTGCTGTACAACAACTTTTTAGTTTGATGTAGTCCCATTTGTTTATTTTTTCCTTTTGTTTCCCTTGACTGAAGAAGCATGTTAGGAAAAAAATTACTAAGAGAAATGTCCAAGAAAACATAGAGAAATTACTCAAGAGTGTTATGGTTTTTAGTTTTACATTTAAGTTTTTAATCCATTTGAGATTATTTTTGTATATGGTCTAAGAAGGTGGTCTAGTTTCATTTTTTTGCATGTATCTATCCAATTTTCCTAATATCATTTATTGAATAAACTGTTCTTACCCTGTTGTATGTTCTTGCCTCTTTTGTCAAATATTGACCATGTATGCATGGGTTTATTTCTGGGTTCTCTATGCTGTTTTATTGATCTTTCTGTCCATTTTTATGCCAGCACCATGCTGTTTTGATTACTATGGCATTGTAGTATAGTTTGCTATCAGGTAACATGATTCCTCCAACTTTGTTCTTTTCTCTCAAGATTGCTGAGGCTATTTGGAGTCTCTTTTGGTTCCATATAAATTTTTGGATTGTTTGTTTAGTTCTGTGAAATACACCATTTTTATCTTGATGGGTAGGGAGAGAATGTGGACCCCCCAAGGGTTGGGCCCCAACAAGCCTCGGGGAGACCCCACCCCCAAGTAGATAGGGGGTCCCCAGTGGGCATGGTGATGGTTGCCTCAGAGCCCAGGTTAGCCTGCTTGGCAGGAAGTTGTGGCAGGGCCCAGGGCTCCACATGCAACCAGCGACCCAGCTGCCAAGGAAATCCCACTAGAGTTGTTGGAGAAAGCAGTCCCCTGCGTGGAGGTTCAGACCCCTCCCCCAATTTTTGGCCCCAAGAAAGACACTGGGGAACACCATATGTAGGTAGCAAGTGCAGACAGCCCAAGGGCTGGCCCACAGCAAACCTCTGAGGGACTGCAGCCCTTCTGTTGACACTTCCAGCTTACACGGTCACAGTTGTCTAGGAGCGAAGGTCAGCCAGCTGGCAGGGTCTTAATAGCAGGGCCCAGGGTTCCAGGTGTAACCAATTACCCAGTTGACAGGGCATCCCCTTTGGGGCTTTCGAGGAAAATGGGGGTAGTGACTCCCCAAGGATTGAACCCTGGCAAGCCTCTGGGGGACCTGCCCAAGTAAGCCAGTCTACCACCATCTTGTTCTCCATGCTGTGGTCCAGCCCCTAGTGGTCCACCAGGGCACTCATCAGCCACTGGGTGTGCCCACAAGTCGATAGTAGGAGTCACCGGCCGGGACCCTCCATGCCAGCCTTTGTACCCAGGCTGCTGGGCTCCATCACTGCCTCAAGTCTCTCCTCCCGGCCACCATTTCCAGGAGTGGCCTCAGAGTTTCTTTATAGGTGGGATATGGTGAAGTAACACTGTGCCAGTTACTGGCCTAGGCTCTAGGAGGCCTTGCAGCTTCCACCTTTGGCCTCTTGGACCCCTGCCCTGAGAATGCCATGTGACAAAGCCAGTTCAGCCTGGGGGTGGGGGTCGGGGCCACATGCAGGGTAAATGAGGTGCCACATCCAATGGCATCAACTGCAAGACATCCAAGTGTTGCCGTTTTGGGCTTTCCAGCCCTGTTGACCCTCCGGATGAGCATGGCCCTGTGAGTAAGCCCAGGCAACACCAGTGAACCATCCAGATGACTCATAGAATTTTGAAGAGTAACAAGTGGCAATTTTATGCCCCTAAGTTTTGGTATGGTTTGTTATGCAGCAGTAGACAACTGAAACAGATGCCCCCTTTTGCTTTGACTTTGTCAACCCTGAAACCATCTTTCTAAGGTGAGGTTATGGACCTACCTCTTACACCTTAGAACCTTTGCCCTCATTCCACCCCATGATGCCCTGGGTTTTGACCTGGACACCACCTCTCTCAGGGCAGTGGTTCCAAATCTTAGCTGTGCAGGATTCTTGGAGGTAACTTAAAAACATATGAGTTCTGTTCCAGTTATTTGTTATTGTGCAACAAGTCTTCCATAAACTTGGTAGCTTAAAGTGATAATAATTTACTTTGATCACAATTCTGCAATTTGGGGAGGGCTTAGTCAAGGCAACTGGTTTCTGCTGTACACAGTGCCAACTGGGGTGGCTCAAAGACTGGGAGCTGGAATTGTCGGAAGTCTGGCACTCTCACTATGCGTGGTAATTGAGGCTGGCAGTCAGCGGGGAACAGGTGGGGCTGTTGGCCAGCACATCTACACGTGTCTTTTCCATGCGGCTGTTTGTGCTTCATCACAGCACGGTGGCTGGATCTTTTAGGATGAGTGTCCCAAGAGAACAAGGCAAAATTAGAGGTCTTCAAACAATGTCTTTTTGTTAATCATTTCATTATAACATCAATGAGATGCCGTAAGAGCCTGTTGTTTATATCAATTAACCTATGATAAAATTGTTTTTGGTATATGTCCTTTCACTTAAAGTCACAGAACCTATTGATAATGTTAAGTGAGTACTTACTATACATGGTAGTTGTATGGCCTGGCCTTTGAAGTCATAGAGTGTCACTTTCACTATACTCTATTGGTTGAGGTGGTTACAAACTCTATCTGGGTTCAAGAGAGACTATACCCACCACCGGATCGAAGGAGTGTTGACATCACACTGAAAGTAGAACGTGTGGGAGGAAATATATTCAGGTGCTTGTCTTTGGAAAATACAGTCTGTTACCAGTACCTAAGTCCCACCCCCAGAATAATCAATTCCGTAGGTCTGGAGTGCAGCCTCAGAATTAAAGCTTTAAAATGTTCCTGGGTGATTCTGGTGCACATCCAGGACCTGGCATTTGCCCTTTATACCAGACCAATGGCTTCTTAACCCTGAGCTCAGGGCTGTCCCAACAGAAGATGCTGGAAAGATTGGCTTCTTCCCTGAGTGATAATGTGGTCAAAGACCCTTTGGAGGGAAACCAGCCTCAGGCCAGCAGGTGGGATCTGAAAAGCAGGAGGCCTGCTGTCTGTCTGAGGTATCACTGACCTACTCTTGTTATGGGACCTTTTGGGAGCTGCTGTGTCCTGTAGCCTTTATTCCTACAACCTTCTGTGCAGCTCTTTACACTTCCTGGTTTATAGCCTGTAATCCCCAGGCTGCTGGTGGAACCTCATGGTATGGCATTCAATGGTGGGAGTTTGAGGTCCAGTGTTATTTATTAGATTGATTGAACTTAAAGAATATTGGAGAGCCCCGGTCAGTGGGAAGCATTGTGGAAGGAGTTTCTTTTGGCCCCTGGGAATAATCTAGGGAGATGAGCACTGGAAGGCAGGGGACCTGGGTTCCAGCTACAGCTCCACCACAGTTTGCTCTTTGGCCATGTGTAGGTCGTATCTCAGCTCAAAGGTTCAGTTTTCCCAACAGTTAAGTGTGTGTGGAATGTCAGGTCTCAATCTCTTGAATGAACTACTGCTGAGTGGTACTAGTCTCTGGCCAGAAAACCTAATGTGACTCCCCATTGCTCAGTCTTAGTGCCCTGCCCGCCCTCCATGGCTATGGACCGGGAGCCCTACCCACCACTCCAGCCTCATCATCCCTCACCTGAACTTGCCATATTCTTTCACCCCTCTGGGCCTTTGCATATGCTGGTGCCTCTGACTGCTGTGCCCTGTCTTGCTTTTTTACTGCCTGGCAAACCCCAAAGTTTGGCTTTTGTCTCCTCCTTCATGAAGCCTGCCCCTGCCCCTTCCTTTCAGTCACCTCTGCCATGTGTCCCTCTGCCTGTCCCCCTTAGGGTTCTGTAGGCTTCTACACAGGGAACAGCAGCCAGGGCTCACTCACAGGGTGGGCATGGGGGTGGGTGTTGGGGGACTTTACAGCTGATACCTGGCCTTGGAGTCAGTCTGGATTTCAATCCAGTGTTGCCCACACTCCCTGTCTGAGCTCAAGCAAATTGCTGAACTTCTCTAAGCCTGTTTCCTCATCTCCGGTTGGACTTACAATCACTAACAGAATTTTCATGAAATTTTAAAGACATTGGGGACAGAAGCAAAGTCTATGTGAGAGAGGTTTGGGATGGGCTTGGGGGATCTCAGTTTGCAGAGCCCATTGCTTGCTTTGCCTTTTCCCACACTGTAATAGTCAGGAGTATCACAGGTGCTGACGTTCACAGCGGAAATTTTTTTAAAGACTGAATGAGTGAGCCGACGAATGATGTACCTAACTGATTTCCAAATTTGGAGAGCCAAACCTTGTCTGTACGCCGGAAGCGGAAGCGAGCCCAGTGGCTGAGGCAGGAAGTTCCGCCCTCCGCCCCCGGCCTAGCCTCTCCGTCTCCTAGCAACTGTCAAACACAGTTGAAGGGCTGGTCAACGCTAGCCTCCTCTCCCAGGAGGTGCCTGCAGGGGCTGTGCGAGCTGACTGTTGCCCCAACCTGGCCCGAGCTGCTGTCCCGCGCTTCCGCTCGCAGGTACCATGGGCGCCTTGAGGGGACCGTGTTTCCCACCCGCCTCTATTGCCGCCCCACGCCGCATCCTTTCCTTAGCTTTAGTCCAGGTTCTGCAGGAGCAACCACTCCCCGGCCCCAACAACCACCACCGCCCAATGCCCATTTGTGCCTTGCCTCGGGATTCTCGCGCGCCTTTACCTGGCCAGGCATTTGCACATGCTGCTCCTGGTCTGGTTTGCCACTCGCCCCAAGCCTCCCTGAATGAAAGCACAGGGCTTCCTGCTTCCACCCCTCGTGGTTCCTGGGGAACTGCATTCCCTTGGTGTAGGCATTCCAGAAGTGTCAAATTATTGCAGCTGGGGCTGGGGGAGGACACAGACACAAGCTGGAGAAACTGGGGCTGCTCGTTATCAGAGTTACTACCAGAACCATTCTCTGTGGTTCATCCATTCATTGTCTAACTTTGCTGAGTGCCTACTGTATGCCAGGCAGTGTCTGAGGCCTTGGCCATTCAACTGAGAACAAGATGAGGGGAGGGAGGAGGGAAGATGGTGTTTATTCTTAAAAGAGGACAGGCTAACTTCCTGGGAGCAGAGGGTGGTGACAAAAATGCCTTTATTTTTTTTCCAGTCAGGAGTGTTGAGTGAAGTGGGGCATCGTGCAGCATGTCACTGCATACCTGGGACTGGGAGGATGAGGACACGGCGAGCATGGGGCTGACGTCCTCCCTGGGCAGCTTTTGCCAGTCCATAAGTGACTGCGATGTGGAGGAGTACCTGAAGGCCAGGGACCAGGCCCCGGAGTCGGATTCTGACCGCCAGTGCAGCAGCATCGAGTCCTCAGATGGGCCTGCCAGCACTTTCAACTCCGACATGCCCCAGGTCGTCCCTTGCACATTCATCATCTCACTGGCCTTCCCAGGGAATACGGGTGAGTGCTAGAGCAGCACTCTCTGTGCTCTCTGCAAGATGCACGTAGACAAATGACGTTCTCCCAGGGATTAAGGACACATAAGCTCCCTCCACCGGTTTTCCCAAGTAGGGTGCTGGATTCTAGGAGCAAAGGTCAGGGAAGAAACTGCAATTTTAGGGGGCCCACTATGGGCCAGGCAAATAAGTGGTTGTGACATCTTCACATACTTAATCCTCTCAAAAATCCTAAGAAGTGGTGTTATTTCTGCTTTTTGCAGATGAAGAAATCAGAGAGGTTAAGGCCTTGGTTCCAACACCTAATTGTGCATCACCTCTTTTCCTGATTTAAAATACAGATTCTTAGGTGTATTGAATCTCTGGGTATAAAACTATGTTGATTAGTTATTAGTGCAACAATGCCATGTGACAAAGCCAAAACAGCTCCCCAGTTCATTGGCTTCAACAGGAACCTCTTGTTCTCCTAGATGAGCAGGTTAGCAGATCCAGCCTGGGCTCCCCGCAGTGGCTCTGCCCTGCTGCGTGTGTCTGTCACCCTCCCTCCGGACATGTGGGCTAATCCAGACACACATGTATTACGGGAAGGCAGAGACACAACAGAGGGCAAGCCCAGTCACCCAAGCACTTGTCTTTTGGCACCTCCCACCTGCTAACATTTCATTGGCCAAAGCAAGTCACATGGTTGAACAGCAAGATTAAGGGCAGAAAAAATATACACTTTTACATATTTTTTTTGTCCGCTTAAACTACCTGCCCCCCATGATAATTAATTTCGGCTTGTCTTTGTACCTGTCAACTGTTGTTTCAGATATTTTGGAGGCTACTTGCTTAGGTGTATACCATCCTCAGAACTGCCCAATCTTCTTGATGAATCGAAGTTTTTGTACTAATGTGGTAACCTCCTCTATCCACAATGATGCTTTTTATCTTGGGTCTTGGGTATCAAGCAAAAAAACTTCTGGCAAACACCAACTAAAGAAAGTTGGTTCTTACTCAGTCACCTCCATCCCTCACGCCTCTTGCAGCATTTCCTAGAATTGTTTTTCTTATTTTGGTGCTTCTTCCAAAGGCATTTGCATAGCTTATCCCTATGCAGCAAAAATTTATGAGGCCTTGTATTTCTGAGAATCATTTTTATTAATTTATTTTCCAATTACTTTTTTAAAATATTTTATTTATTTATTTTTAGAGAGAGGGGAACGGAAGGGGAGAGGGAGACAAATATCAATGTGTGGTTGCCTCTTGCACACCCCCTATAGGGACCTGGCCTGCAACTCAGGCAAGTGCCCTGATTGGGAATCAAACCTGTGACCTTTTGGTTCCTAGGCCAGCATTCCATCCACTGAGCCACACCAGCCTGGACTCCAATTACTCTTGACATACAATATTACACTAGTTTAAAGGGTAGAACATAGTGATTAAACAGTTATATACCTTACAAAGTGATCACCCTGATAAGTCTAGCATCTACCTGACACCATCCACACATAGTTATGACAACATTATTGACTGTATTTCCTATATTTTACATCTCCATGACTGTTTTCATACTGGCAATTTGTACTTCTTAATTCCTTTTTACCTTTTTTTGGGATCTTATTTATTCATTTTTAGGGAGAGGGGAAGAGAAGGAGAAAGAGAGGGAGAGAAATATCAGTGTGTGGTTGCCTCTTGAGTGTACCTGTACTGTAACCCAGGCATGTGCCCTGACTGGGAATCAAAATGGCAACCCTTTGGTTCACAGCCTATGCTCAATCCACTGAGCTACACCAGTCAAGGCCCTTTTACCCTTTTTACCCATCCTCTCAACCCCCTCCCATCTGGTGACCATCAATTTGTTCTCTGTATCTAGGAGTTTATTTCTGTTTTACTTACTCATTTATTTTGTTTTTAGAGTCTTTTTATCATGTGAATACCTTTGAAGGACATGTCTTTGGCTAGATATAAAATTCTAGGTTCAATGTTTTTTCCTTTAATATCTGAGTATTTATGGGGTTTTTTTATAAATGTTTCTACAAATTGTTTGTTAAAGAGAAATGAGATCCTACCCATTCTATGCTAAAACTTACTTTTAAAAACCTGACATCTTAGATGTCTAAGAGGAAGTGAGCATATTTGTTTTTCCTTTGCTGATGTTTTGTTTGAAACGTCTATATAGTGTGCTTCTAATTTATCCTCCCCCTTACTGGTGGACATTTAAGTTGTTTCCCAGTTTTGTTACAATCCTGCGGTAGCCCTCCGAGCATGCACATTTTTGCACAGCTGTGTGGGCACTTGCATAGCCTGAACTTCAAGAAGTGGAACTGTTGGGTTGAAAGCATGGCAGCAGGTCCTCGAATACTGTTTTGCTCAATGTCATTTTTTATAACATTGATGAGATGCCATAAAAACTTTTTTTATCAACTAGCCTATGATAAAATTTATTTCATTATAGTCATACCACAGTACTCATCTGTTTCAGAATTTGTCAAACCCTGTACTTACCACATTTTGAAGAGAAAAATAGGTTTCAGCACTTGGCGCTCGCTTGGCAGTCGTCACACTTGCTGGAACTAGCATGAGTCATGACGCCACCCCACAGGAGAAAATGCTCCATCGTTCAGTGCTTGTCGGTTTCAGCACTCATCACAGGGTCTGGAACGGATGAACGATGAGCACCGAGGCACCACTGTATGTGGTTTCCCTTCAAATCCCGAAACTATCAATGATATCGAGGACGTACTGTACACATTTACATTTTTTATAGACATTGTCCACCAAATTGTCCACCAAGGGGGTTGTAGCAATTTTTCTTCTGGTTGATATGAGGGTCTATATATCCATTTGCTGGCCCACTTGGATTGAATCAGAACACAGACCTGGGAGATGTAGCGAGCATTCTGATTAGCTGCACCTTCACAGGAAAGCCTAATGCTTACTAAAGACTGGCTGGAGAAGCTTAATTCTAAGCTCTGCACAAAGCTAACTCTTCTGGTGGCACAAAATTAATATAAATGCAGTCTCCTGGATGCTAAAAATTTGAAATTTTAAAACTACATCTTTAAATAGAAAATGAAACTTAAATGTTTACGGAGCTCCTAAAGCATCTTCTTATGATCCGCAAAGCCTCGGCCTGGAAGGTTCAGTTTAAAGTCAATGGCAGGCCGTGGAGGCCCTGGTAGTCTGGCCGAAGCCCATCCTTACTTTGTACAATTTTCCACCATTCACCCCACATTGTGCAACTTCACTCCTGAGGCTTTGCTGGGCTCTGCCCTCTCCCTGGAATGCCTGCCAGCTCTCCTTCTACAAGACCCTGCTGAGGTTCCGTAAGGGGCTTCCCCACCACCACAGGCAGAGTTTCCCTGCCTCCTCTGTTGTTCTTCAGAATCTTACCTGTGCTGGTACTATTACACAAATCACAGTGTGCTGTTATGTTTTTTTACCTGCTTCTTATTGCTGAGACTATGGTGACGGAGATGAAGTGCCCAAGGTGAAAAATATAAGAAGACGATCACTCTCGGAGTCATGCACTGAAATTCTGTACCCCTGTGCTTAGTCCTGGTCCCGCAGAGCCTCCTACTCTGCCGGCTGGAGGGCTGCACCTGCCTCTTATCCACAAGCCAGGCAGGCAGAGTAGCGTCATGCAGCCTCCCCCAGCATCTGGCTTTGGTCCCAGGGAGCTGTGGGACAGGTCTGCTTTCCCACATGAGGTTAAAACAAGACCTATTAAATCTGTCTCTTCTAGGTCATAAAGGAAAGTATATAAATTTGACGGAAAAACATAGGAAACACCACAAAATGGACAAACCTATTACAAAGAGTCACCATTTTTACCACATTGAGTATTTCCCTCTGCCGGATGATAAAGAGCCTAAGAAAGTTGACGTGGTGGTGTTCCCAACAACTGTCAAAGTGTTCCTGGATTCAGGAGTAAAGGTGTGTGTGTGTGTGTGTGTGTGTCCTTGTGGGTAGCATACAGCCTAGTATTCACCACACAGAGTGTCCTTGCTTCCCCTGCAAGTTGCTAGAAATGCAGGACATTGGACCCCACCCCAGACCTACCGATGAGAATCTTCACTGACCTAATAATACAATTAAACAAATTTTTATTTAGATATTTTTACCTAATAATTTGTTTTCAAAAGTTTTTGTAGCTCTTGTGAGTTCTTTCTTTGTCTGTTGGCATGTGAGTGCATGTGTGTGCACACCCACCTGCCTGCATGCACACACATCTGTGCCTGTAGCCCAGCTCGGTCAGGGATTGGAATCACCGGAAAGGACATGGTTTTCCAGTAATTGCTTTAACTTAATTTTTTCCCAAGAAACCCAGAAGTATGACAGCACCCAGTCCATGACACTCATTTCCCAATGTGCGTTGGGACCTGGGAGAGAGCCAGACACAGAGGTCGGACAGGTGGAGAGCAGGGCCCATTTTCGCCAGACAGGGCGAGGCTGGCATGGCCGGTACTCCTAGACTGCTGAGCCTTCTAGCTCCCCACACTGAGAGTGTCTTGGTTTTTTTGTTGTGTTTTTTTGTTGTTTTTTTTTTGGACAGGCTATGAAGCCATGGCATGAAGGGGACAAAGTCTGGGTGTCATGGACCCAAGCTTTTAACATGCACGTGACAAAGGAGTTACTCAAGAAAATGATTTTTTACAAAATAACCTTGAAGATCTGGGACACTACAGACAAGGTTTCAAAAAAAGTCAGGTATTATCGGTTAAAGACAGAAGGGCATGCAGAAGAGGCAGGATCTCTTGGTAAGTCAGGTATTTGGGTTTTATTTGCAATGTTTCTAGGGGCTGTGACTCCTCACCAGGAGGAGGAGAAAAGCCAGCGTCCCCCAGATCTCCTGTTCCTGGGCCCGCATCGGTTTCTGGGTCGGTGGTACTGTCTTCCCTCTAGGATGTGCCGGCGTTAGGACACACCGCGCCGTGTCTGCGCATGCCCATTAGCCTCCAGCTCCACCTCCACCTCTACCTCCGCCACCTTTAGGGGCTTCCCGGCCCTCGGCAGTGCTAACATAGGCACCCACCCCAAGCCTGTCTCTCTGGTTAAGTATTGTGTGTTCCTTTGGGGGGGGGGGGGCGAGGATACCAAGAAACAAAAATTAAAACTTTAAAAAAAATCCCGCTGCCCCGAGATACCATGTTGGCATTTTCATATAGACCCTCTGAACTCTCCAATATTATGTCTACCCCAGAAAGTCTCTTGTTCAACCGCCCTTGAAGGAGCATGCTGGGAGGAGCAGAAATTGCCAGGCTGGAAGTCAGACAGCTGAACTCAGTCCCGTATCCATCCTGACCTAGCTGGTGGCCTTGGGCATGTGCCTGCTTCCTCTGGTCAGGTCCACGGAGGCACCAGTGGGAGTGCCCCCTCCACCGGGCACAAGCACAAGGGAGGATGTGTGTTGTCTATAGAGAATTTAAAAATAATAATAAAACAATGACCATTAAACTGTGCCGTGGCATTCACTATAAAGATGCATCCCCATTTTAAGAGACGTTAAAAGGTAAAAGCAATGTGCATCTGTGAGTACATGGAGTGTGAATACATGCTGTTATTTAGTGGCTTTCAGATAAGTAGGATTATTCTGGTTTTGTAGTAAGCATGGTAACACTTGCTTGAAGTGAATGTCAGTGCTCCAATCAGAACCCAGTATTTTGTACCTTGAAAATCTGTCCTTTCTCCAGGTCCCTAGCCTGACTTCTCAAGGACACTTTCTGACATTGGGCGCTTTGGGCTTCCAGCTTTTAATCTTTCTAATATATATCCTGGGGTGTTTTATTTTTATCCTCAGCACTGTTGCCATTCTGGGTCTGATCATTCCTGGTTGTGGGACTGTTCTGTGCATGGTATGGTCCTCGGCAGCATCCCTCTAGCCACCAGAAGTAGCCTCCCAGACACAACGACAATCAACAATTTTAGTCATTGTTCCCTGAAGAGGATGGGAAACAAAACCACCCCTTACTGAGAATCACCGGTTCATATCTAAACTAGTAATTGTAGGATTCCTGTGTGAGAAAATGGGACCTACGGTGGCTTTTCTCACCTGCACCAAAGGAAAGACCCACGTCCTCCAAGTGTGGGCTCCAAGCCACTTGCATTAGATGCACTTGGAGGGCTGCCTAAATAATGCAGCTTTCAGGGCCTGTGCCAGAGCTGCTGAGCTGGGATTTCTGGTACACGTCCGCCCTGTCCTGGGCTCACACTGGAGCAGGGTGCTGGGGCGTGTGTATCAAGAAGGCTTCCTGAAGAAGGGGCATTGGAGCCAAGGTTTGGCAGCATAAACGGATCAGCTGGCCAGAAGGTGAAGGAGGAAGGGTGTTGAAGGCCCTGCGGGAGGGGCCCACAGTCTTTCTGCTTGGCGTTCTTGAAATAAGAGCACCTGCGCTTCCTCAAAACTTGTCCCAAGCTTCACGTCACCTGCATCTTATATTAAGTAATTTTGTTTCTGTTAGAAAAATCAGTGCATGTTCACTTCATAAAAAATTTAGAAATAGACTAGCTAAAAGAAGAAAAAATTAGAATCACATGATGCCTGGCCAGAGATAATCATTGCTAACATTTCCCTCATTTTATATGTGGGTATAAAATTTCAACAAAAATGAATCTATTATACATGTTGTCTTAAGTCCTGCCTTTTTTCACTTAAAAACTTTCTTCTTAAAACTCTTGTTTTTGGGAGTGCAGAAATACCATAAGAGGTTTGTTATAAAGGAGACAAGAAGTTTGGGATGCACTGTAGGTCGTGTGCCAGAAGCTGTCAGTTTTCAGCCTGCTGGTGTTGAATGGAACATCCCAGTCAAGAGTTCGCATTTCTCTTCTGTGAAATCTGCTCAGTCCACTGGTGTCTCAGAACTGGATAAAAGCAACATCATTCTGAGAGCCCCCAAGTCACAGTTGACTCCCGCTATGTCCTCAACTCTTGGCCACCCACCCCACCAACTAGGTGGCTCTTCTCTGATCACCCAACTTCTTTTCTGTCTCCTTTCTTCTGTCATTGTTCCATGGTCTTTCTATACCACTCTTTACCCTGGCCTCCCAGTGCCTTAGTGGGAACCAAGCCTGACTTCTGAGTCCAGCCATAAAGGCATCTCATAACTTGTTCCCCAAGGCTCCTTTCTCATTGTCACTCCTCCCTCATACCTGGTCCATTTCCTGGTCACATTAGGCTTTTCCTCATCGCGGGGCTGGTATTCAGGCATTTGGCCATACTTAGAGGGCTCTTAGCCTCATCGCTTTGCCAAAATTTTATTCTATCCTTCAACACAACCCAATTTCACCTCTTTTCTTCCCACGTCTTTCTTATGGCTTCCATCGTCTCCATTCATCCACTCACTTCCTCTGCTCATGCGTCATTCCACACATGTTGGGTGCAGCCAGGAGCATGCAGAGCCCCACATTGACAGAAGTGAAAGACATTTATGAAGGGGTCATCTCCACAGCTGGGCACATAAGGCTCTGGGTGCAGGCCTGGCTTTGCTAAGGCCAGCTCTCTGACCACAGGAAAGCTCCTTAAGTGTCAGATTCCTCATCTATAAAATGGGGAAGCGGTGGTGCTTTTCTGAAAATGAAGTATGCTGATTAAATGCAATAACACAGTCAAGTACTTAATGGTCCTATTTGGAAGAAGCCATTACCCAGTTGAGGTTTGAGTTTCCTGGTATTTTGAAGCAGCCCTTTAGGCACCAACTCCGGGAGGTCAGGAACCTTGCCCTGCTTACCCATTGCTCCATCTCCAGCACCCAGAGAGTGACTGTCACATAGAAAGTATTCAATAAGTATTTCTGGTTGATTGAATCCATGACTCTTGTTTATTCTGCATTCCAGAGGAAGTGAGACATTTAGTTTTAAGTCAGAGGAAATTGTCTGAACAAAGCATTCATGTCCAAATGGAGTGCAACCAGGAGTATACGCAAAAAAAAACAGAAAGAGCAGAGAAACCCTTCAAGTCTCTGCATGGTGAGTAGAGATGACCTCAGGGGACACGCTGAGTAGAACCTGGGCAGGGACGGTGGCTGCTTGGTGACACAGGGGCAGTGCGTGTGTCCGGTGTCCTCTGTGCCTGTCAGCCGTGTCCGCTGCTGCTGAGTCACCCTGCCCTGCTGAAGCACTCGCGGCCCTCTGCACAACTCTCTTTTCATTGTCAATGCTTTTTCTTTATTTAGCTTTTGTCTATTTTGTGGCTTACAAAAACACTCTCTTACTATAGAAGTTACATGTGTGTTTTTTTAGAAAAATTCAGTGAATGTAAAAAAGTATACAACAAGCAGGGAAAATAACCTGTAATTTCATCACCAGGAACAAGCATTGTAATGTTTTGGTTTATCACATTATGGCAAATTCCTTCCTTTTTTCTAAGACTTTTTTTACATAGATGAGGTTATCCCGAATGCACGATTTTGTATTCTGAGATTAATATGCCATTACATGCACAATTTCCTTTAGGACTTTCCATAAACTTTATTTGTGGTGACTAGAAATAATATTTCATCTGCTGGTAATACTATAATTTGCATAATCATTCCCTGTCAGTGGGAATTGAGGAACCTGGAACTATTTTTAGTATTCTCTAACGTAAACAGTACTGAGGTGGACAGTTAAATAGATAACCAGTGTTTCTTCTGTGTTTTTTTCCTTGTGGGATATTATAGAAAGGACTAGAGGACCTTTCTTGCCTCCATTTGTCCAAATAATTGTAATTAGTCTCTACATTCAATCATTTTCTCACTATTTTTTAATTTTTAAAAAAATATATTTATTAATTTTTAGAGAGAGGGGAAGGGAGGGAGGAAGAGAGGAAGAGAAACATCAATTGGTTGCCTTGACCAGGACCAAACCCACAATCCAGCCACGTGCCCTGACCAGGTGTCAAACAGTGCCCAACCAACTGAGCCACACTGGTCAGGGCTACTCATTTACCATTGACAAACCTTTTTACTGAATGCTCACCACATACCAAATCTCCTGCCTGGGGCTGCCATTACAAAATGTGAAAAAGGCCCTCATTTCTTAGTGAGCTAATATGGAACACAATGTTGGGAGACATTTGCTAATAAATATTAACAGGTTCTCACCCAGCAGAGTCTGAAGCTTCTTCCCACAATACCAAGGAAAATGAAAAGCTACTCAGAATGGAAGATCTTTCCATGATTGGATAAGGAAAGACCAATGGTGTTTGGGGGGTGAGAGTGGAGCCCTGTCTCATACTAGTCCTGCAGACTCCCCCCATGAGCCATGTAGACTTTTAGTAAATTCAGTTACATTGGAGTTCATGCAGTCCAGGTGCAGTGAAAGGAATGTTTGCATTTATGAGCACATGTTATGTATCAGGCTGTGTGCTCTGGCATTTATTACTTTATTCCATTTAATATTTGTAATGCTCACTGTAAGGTGGTATTACTATCTCCATTTTCTACACAAGATGACTGAGTGATTATGTAATTTGAACAAAGTTCTAAAACCAGAATTCTTGGGAATCTTGGGAGTGTTGGTAAAGCCAGGATCCTAACCCACACCTTCAGACACCGAGTCCACAGCCTTGTCCGGCTGAGAGTGTGCTAGCCCTTGGCCTCTTGGAGTCTAAGAGGGGCCTGGAGAAGGAGTGTGCCTGGATGCCGTGGGGACCACGGAGAGAGCGGAGGCCCAGCCGGTTCCTGGGCAAATGGGATGGATACAACTAAGAGGAAATGTCATTTAAAAATATTAACTTAAAAAAATTGTTTTTGCATTACGTTTATAAATTAATTTTAGGAGGAATTGACATTTTTACATTGAGAAGTCCTCCCATCCTTGATCAGGCTGTATCTTTTCACGTAATTCACATCCTCCTTTACGACTTTAGTAATGGAGTTATTTTTTTTCTTCCTATAGGTGTTATAGATAATTCCTATAAATGAATTCCTGGATATTTTGGAATGTCAGTTGCTTTTATTAAAAAATATTATTTTCCATCATACGGAGGCAGGTGAAGGTAGACATCTCCGGATGCAGGAACTGCTGGTGCAGAAGCGTGTGATCTTAGTGGCAGACTGGCGGGAGGCGAGAGCCCTCAGATGCCAGTCGGGCTTCTCATTGATTCCGGTTCCGAGTGTGGCTGAGAGCACTCACATGCTTATCTGATCCCACTCTTGCATGATTTGCCTATTCTTATGCCTTTACTTACTTTTCTGTTGGGTTTCAAGTTTTTCTTATGGACCAAAAAGCTTTATTTTTTACATCATCTGGATAATTACGCATTATCAGTTATGTGCATTATAACATCACAGACCGAGTTCTGTTAACTTATCCTTTTACTCTACACATGGCGTTTGATTGGGTAAAATGGTTTTTTAATTATTCCTTTCTAGTTCTCACTTGTGGTAGTGTTTAAGGAACCTTGCTCCTCTGAAGGCCGGTAGAGTCTCCTGTGTATCCCTGTAATGCTTTTGAAGATTTTGTTTCCACCTTCAGTCTGCAGTCTATTTTGCATATGACATGAGATGTCCAATAATTTCATTTGCCTCCAAATGGCTAGTCAGAATAATTAACTGACTAGTCCATTCCTCCTCCCGATTTGGAATGCCACCTCTGGCATCTGTTGAGTCCTCTTCTGTGTGGGTCTGGCTTCCTAGTTCATTCCATTGGCCTTTACCCAATAGAACCAATAGCTCATGGTAACTTTAGCCCCTTCTGCCCATTTCTTGGATGGTAGCAGGAGGCGAGTCAGGAAACCCTTCAATTTCTCCCTGCATATAACTGGCAAATGGTCAGCTACCCACACATAGACACCATTCTGGAAAGGGCAGCAGCACAAAGCACCATCTCTGCCTTCATGGAGCTTCCAGAACCTCCCCAAACCGCTGCAGCCTGTGTGTGTTCGCATGTGGCAGCTTGAATGTGAGCTCCTCAGAATGCTTACTTCCCTCTTTTGATTCCACAGTTAAATGGAAAGAATCAGGTAGGGATAAGAAAGACCATAGAAGAAGGAAGAAATACCATGCAGAGGAGGACATAGACGGCAAGCTGGGAGATCAGTGGAAGCGGTGCAGAGTCTTCTCCATGCAGCTGGGGCTGAAGCCGCTGCTCGCAGGTAGTGACACCTGTTCCCAATAGTTTCTTGTATTTGTCACATATGAGCAAAAGTCCATAAACAGGATGCGCATGGTGACCAGATCCCTGCTCTATGCTACCTAACTTCATGCTCACAGCCACCTTAGCAAAGTGGGGGTGTCTCTGTCATCAAGGAAATGAAGGCAGAGACATTAAACACATTTCTTTAGAGATCACATAATGAGCACGTATGAAGCCAGGATTTGAACCCAGCTCTAATTTCAAAGTCTAAGAAAACCTGTGAAAATAATAAATACTACAATTTTGCTAAACAAGGTGCTGCTTTTTATAAACATGTTTCTACAGGTTGTTACAAAAACATCTAGTAAAGGAAATTAGGAAAGGGAGCTGGTATTCCTGTCCCAGCATTTACGTCCCATAACAAATTCTGGTCCTCCCAGTGAACTTGTAGTATTGGGGCTGCTTATCATTGTCACCGATTTCTTCCAGTGAGGAGTCAAACTCAGAGAAGTTAAGTACTTACCTGAGGTCACACAGCTCAGTAGCAGAATAGGAGTTTGATTGTTTTGCTTTGTAAGATCTATCACAACTCATAAAGTAGGTTTTCTAGTTTGATAAATAATAAATAGGTATTAATTAAATCCATATGTTTTGATAGTGGAAAGCTCAGAATATATTTTGGGTAAAATTATGGGACTTTGTCTTTTTAAAGAAGGGGTAATAATGGCGAGAAGAACCCTCCTGTTTTCCTCCTTAGAGAATAACTTCAAACCTTTTCATTGTAGGGTTTGGGGGAGGCCACCATGGTGTATGTGCACTTTCCTTCTGGCCAGTCCTAGAAATTTAGGCTTCAGTCTTTTCTGAGACGGAGCTGACAAAACTGGGCATCGAGTTCCACGGGTGCTGGGGAAATCCTAATTCTCACATGTTCTTGGGTTGGCAAGGATGCCTTCTGAGGAATATTATTCACTTTTTACTTCTCACTTTTAAATGGATTTTTGCAAATCAGTTTTCACCTAAAGTTGGGCTTTTCAGACTGACTGCCTCAACTCCCCCCCACATCAGAGTCCTTTCTAGAGAAGTGATATCTCAGAGACTCTCACCCACTCTCATGCTGTGTTCTGGGAGGACCAGGCCCCCACATGGCGGTCGCATGCTTCTGCTTGGAGCAGACATCAGGAGAAACATTTCATGGTCCTTGAGCCCCCAAGAGGAACCAGAGGTCCTCTAGGTGGCTGAGTTCTGAATTACCTGCCTGACTGTGCTCCCTCATCTTGCTATGAGAGGAAGGAGAAGGTCACACGGGCTTGGCCACAGCAGTTAAAGCAACACACCAGTGGACACTGACATAGACGTTAGTGTGATTTGTTCTTGAATGTGTTCTATTCTACAACGATAGCCTGGGGCATCACTCTCCAACTGAGCCTTCTACAGTGATAGAGATAATTTATATCTTCATTGTCCAATCCACAGCTCATGGCCACACATGGCTCCTACGCTTTTGAAATGTGACTCCTACAAAGAAAAAACTGCATCTTAAATTGTATTAAATTTTAATTACTTAGAATTTAAGCAGCCACATATAGCCATTAACTACTGTACTGGACAGCACAAGTCTAGGATGGTGGGTCTCAATCACCTGGGGAGCTTTTAGAAATTACACTGTAAAGTCCAAGTAAACCAGGCTGTTTTGGGTGGCACCCAAGTATCTACTTGGGTGCCACCCAAGTATTCCTTATTGTATCTGTATTCCTTATTGTATCATATGGATGAATCAGGAACTGCTTGTATTACAAGATGATCATCAAGATTAAATTACAAAAATTAAATCCTCTTAGAGAATTCATGCAAACTCAATCTGAAAAACGGGTGTATAACATGCTGTGTGCATGTGTTTCCCAATTTTTTTTTAAGATTTCTTTTTTTCTTGTAGTTTTATCATTGGCCCTTCTCAGCTTGCCAGTCCTTCTGTGCTTGTCTTGGGAATGTCGCAAGTAGCAGTCTAATGCTTTGTGTATTGTGTACCCCCTCCCCCCACCCAGGATGGCAAACCATCTCGAGTCACGGTAGTGAAAAGTCTGCCAGCATTTTAGATTGTCTGTTGACTTTAAAAACAGAAGTTCCTATCATGACAGAGGAGCAAAAGCAGGACTTAAACCCCCTGATCATAAAGATCAAAAGTGCTTCCTGCCTTCCATCGCAACCTGTGCCCTTCCATGAACTAGAGGTAAGAAGAGCCAGACCAACTGATGTGCGGCCTCCTTTTCACAGCCAGTTCTCCATTGTGTGTCATCTTTTATCCCCCCATTGGCCTTACACCAGATTTAAATCATCCCCATTTCACCGTTTAGAATCTCGGAGCAAGATATAAAAGAGGTTGGGCTTCTGGGGTTGGGAGCTAGCAGGTCCTGAGGTCTCCCACTACTGCATAGGCGTCCTTCAGAAGGAGGCAGCGACCCTCCCCTCAGCAGGCGCCCCAGGCACCCTTGTCAGGGCCGCAGGGCCCACTCACGTTGAACCAGCCAGGTTTGGCACTGCTGTTTATCTTGGAAGTTCCCCTTTCCCTCTCTTGGCGGGATCCCTGTCCCTGGATTCTGTGTCTTCCTCTGCTTTGTTAGCTCTCTGGTTTCGGTGGAGCATATCCTCCTGTAGCTTCCTGAGCAAAGATTAAACGATGGGAGGTATACTTGGGCTCCTTCAGCCTAAGGATTCATGTCTTTGATGTGTTCAATTCTCTATCCTTACCTTTTCTACTTTTACCTTTCTGCCATTCAATTTGTACAACAATTGCAAAATTCTGAAACCCCAGTTAGGATATGTCAGATCTAATCTCATTCTCTTCCACTGCCTCTTAATCATTCCTTTATATTTTTTGTATCTTTGTCTTCTTTGTATAAACTTGGGTAATCCACTCAGCTATATATTTAAGTTCACCAATTTTCTCTTCAATTTTTTTACTTTTTAATTTATTTTTCAATTACAGTTGACATATAATAGTATGTTAGTTTTACATGTACAAAATAGTGATTAGACATTTATACACCTTACACAAAGATCTGTGTAAGTCTAGTACCCGTCCCAGTAAGTCTAGTACCCGTCTGGCACCATACATGGTTATTATAATATTATTGACTATATTTCCTTTACATCCCCATGACTATTTTTATAACTGGCAATTTGTACTTCCTGATTTCTTCCACCTTTCTCACCCAGAAACCCAACCCCCTTCCACCAGACAGCCATCGTTGTGTTCTGTGTGTCTATGAGTTTGTCTTGTTTGCTCATTTATTTGGGGTTGGGGTTTTTAATTTCACATATAAGTGAAATAATATGGTATTCATCTTTCTCCGCCTTGCTTATTTTACTTAACAACACCCTTTAGGTTTATTCATGTTTTTGCAAATGATAAGATTTTATTCTTCTTACAGCTGGAGTAGTGTTCTATTATATATATGTACCACCTCTTCAAAGCATGCTTAGGTTGCTTCCATATCTTGGCTATCATAAAAACACTGCAATGAACATAGGGGTGCCTATATTTTGCTATATACATTTCACTTGATTTTTGTCTGGAGTGTTTTATAGTTTTCAGTGTATGGGTCTTATATATCTTCCACTTAATTTCTTCTTAAGGATTTTATAAAAACGTATGCTATTATAGGTAATGTTTAAATTTTTAAAAATTATTCAGTACCAATAAATGTAATTATTTTTGTCATTTATTTATTTTTAATATATTTTATTGATTATGCTATTACAGTTGTCCTATATAAATAAAATTCTAATAGATTTGGCCTTCATATTTAAATTTTTAAAAACAACAAATATATTTGTTTTATGCATATGACTACTTTAATACTTTAATGCCTTTTTGCATCTGGTTTTCCTGGTAGTCCCTTTTTCCCTTATATGTTCTGTGATTTTCACTCTGATCTCACGTTCAATGGGACTTTCTCTGTGGAATTCTTTGAGGCCTAAGTTGAAAGTGGATTTCTGCAGAAAGGTTTCTAAATGACTTCGCCCAGGTATCTGGGAGCACTACTAACCCATGATTGTTTTAAAATAAAATTTCAGCATCAGTGCAAAGTAAATAAGACAACATGAAATATAAATTTGGACCACAAACTCGTGTAACAGTTTTTGATTATAAAATCTTAGCACCACCATCAAAACATGCAAGGTTCCCTCTTTCTGCTTCAGCACAGCTCTGCCCCTCCTTCCATCTCATTCTCCACGCCCTGTTAAGCCCCGAGCCTCTCTAAGTCTTTCTTCTCCTGTGGCAGCTTTCTGCTCAGATGCTTAATATAGTAAAGATGAGCCTGTGCCAATGCCCCCAGGTGTATGTCTGGAAAATATGGTTTATTTATGTCCTCCTTTTCTTTGCCTGGCCTTGGGCTAAGAGCTAGAAATACAGATGTGAAAAAGGCACATGGCCTATCTTGATGGCACTCACAGTTTGGGAGGAAGAAATCGTGCTGATATTTTTGAGCCCTTTTCTTGTGCCAGCCACCATCTTGGTGCTTTGACATGTGTCACTCAGTCCTGGGAATGACCTTGCAGAGCAGGCTCTCGTTGCCATGAGGAAACCCAGCCTGCAGGGGCTGGGCTGGTGAGGGTGGCCCCGGGGTTGGAGCCTCCTGCCGGGGAGCCTTCCTCCAGAAGAGAGAGAGTGACTGCCCCTGCAGCCCAGTGCCCCGATGTCTCCCTGTTCTCTCACAGAGGCTCTGCACCCCCGTGTACTGCAAGTACCAGTTTCACAAGACTCCGGCTCACCAGACTGAGGGGCAGCCTCATGGAAGCCACATCTCCTTCCAGGACATCAATGTCATTTTTCTTGGTGCAATGCACCCCAATGACCTGAGGGAATACCTGGAGGGCCCTCCCATGGTGGTAGAAGTTCACGACCGGGACCGAAAGTCAGAGGAGTATTCCCGGAAGCCCACCCTGTTTGGGGAGGACCCTCTGGATTCATATATTAACTTCCAGGCCCTCATCTCTCCCAAAGAGACAGAGAGCAATCCCTTTGAATCCCAAAACAAGATGTGGGACCCTTACGGAATAGCCCGAGTAAGTTTTGCTGAACTCCTCCTTGGACACAAGTACTTGAACTTGGCTATCCCCATCCACAGCTGTGAGCCCAAGCCCATACACCATAACCAGGACAGCAGGAGCAGAAAGGTTGTGGGGTTTAAGGTCCCTACAGATGCCCTGCATCACGGCCCAATGCCCATGGGTAACTACCTAGAGGCCAACTCCCTGCTCAAGCTGCGAGTAGACATCTCGGTGCCACTGCAGGCCATGGCAGAAACCGCCAGTCCAGACCTCGCAGGCACCCAGTTTGGCCGCATCATTTTCATATTTGACTCCAGGAAGGCCTCCCTCCTATATAGCCTGCTGCAGGACATCACCCTGATCAATGCCAAAGCCCTCGATCTGGACTCCTGCCCTGTCCCGACCATCCAGCAGATCCTGTTAGCCTTTAAAGTGCGGGCGAAGATCCAGGAAAGGCAGGACCTGGATGTGCTCACCGGCTTCCACATGCTGGACGGGAAGATCCACCTCCTCATTTTGGAAGGCATAGCTGACCAAGGCTTGAAGCGGCTATGGGAGAGCCACCAAAGTCGGTAGGTGGCGTCTGGGGACTGAGTGAGTGGAGAGATCTTTCACTACCAAGCCCAGGTTCCCTGTCCTGCTCTGTGAGAGGGATATGTCCACTCGTTTCCTCTGGGGTTTATTTTGAAGTGTTCCTCAGGGCTTAGGAAGTGAGTTTTAAAACAAGAAGAACTGATTGCTTTTAGGTGAAGGGAAGACTTTAGAGAAGGTGGTTCAGGAAAACGAGCCCAGCCTTCAGACTTCTGAGGAGCCTACTTGGTTAATAAGAAGCAGAATGTTTTGTATGGCCCTGGTCCAGGTTTATGGGACCAATAAACTGTGAATGGGGAAAAAAGAGTGTGCTTTATGGCCCTAAGGTAGACACCTCAAAGAAATAAATATCAACTCTCCCAGGTAAGATATATCTGATTATTTTGAATCTAGAGGGACTGCCTAGACCACAGAAAATGCCTCCTCCATTCAGGAACACTTGTTGGCTTCTCAGTGGGGTCATCATAGGGGCAACTAAAGTGCCTGGTTTTGGGCTGGAGCAAGTGGCCCCTTATGGTCCTTCCATTCTTTAGTTTTGGTGACACGATAATTCTCTTTTCCTTTCGTGACTCTCCAGCATCCTAGTTTGGATAGATAAGACCTCCTTCCTTTAGTCCACAGGTCCCCTGCTTGTCCTCAGAGCTCAGATACCCCCAAATCCAGATGTTGATAGTGGCAGAAAGGCTTGAAGTTGAGTCTCTACACCCAGCAGGGGAGTGCCGCCCTGTAGGGCCCATTTGGATGTGCTGACAGGCCAAGAGACACCAGGGAGAAACCAGCCTTATGGTGGTTTTCTGCCCAAGAGAACTGAAAACATATGTCCACACAAAAACATGCACATGAATGTTCATAACAGTATTATTTATAGTAATCAGAAAGTGAAAACAGCCCATATGTCCATGAACCAATGAACAAAATGTGATATAGCCACACAATGGAATGATATTCAGCCATAAAAAAAGAAATGAAGTACCGATCCACATACTTCAACTTGGGTGAACCTTGAAAACCTTCCGCTACGTATCAGCTGGGGGAGAACTGACATCACTGCTACGTCAAGCCTTCCGTGAATGTGGTGTGTCTCTGCATTTATTTAGATCTTTAATTTCTTTCATCAGAATTTTGTAGTTTTCAACATACATGTTTTGATATATTTATATCTAATTTTTTTATTTTTGAGTTATTTTAAATGGTATGGTATTTTTAGTTTCCAAGTGTTTATTGCTTGTATATAGAAATATGATCATTTTTCTTTTTTTTAAGATTTTATTTATTTATTTATTTATTTATTTATTTATAGAGAGAGGAGAAGGGAGGGAGAAAGAGAGGGAGAGAAACATCAATGTGTGGTTGCCACTCATATACTCCCACTGGGAACCTGGCCTGCATATGCCCTGACTGGGAATCGAACCAGCCACCCTTTGGTTCTCAGGCTAGCACTCAATCCACTGAGCTACACCAGCCAGGGCTGTTTTTTCTTTTTTTAAAGATTTTATTTATTTACTTATAGAGAGAGGGGAGGGGAGGGAGAAAAAGAGGAAGAAAAACACCAGTGTGTGAGAGATACATTGATTGGTTGCCTCTCACACACACTGGTAACCTTTCAGTTCACAGGCCAGCATTCAATCCACAGAGCTACACCAGCCAGGGTGATTTTTCTTCATTGATCCAGGTTTGAGGAGTGTTTGTTTGTTTGTGGTAGATGCTTTGGGATTTTGTACATAGACCACCATGGCATCAGCAGATAGAGAGAGTTTAGTTTCTTCCTTTCCAAACTGCATGCCTTTACTTCCTCAGCATGCTGGTAGGGACTTGCAGGGTTGTTGCATGTCAGAGTGGTCCCTGGCTGGCCTTGTTTCCGATCACTGGGGGAAGCGATGGGTCTTTCTCCATTATATATGTTCCAGTGTTGTAGATGTTCTTTGCCAATTTGGGGAAGTTTTACCCTATTCTGAATTTACTGATAGTTTCCTAATTTGCTAGCTGATGTAATTTATAAAACTCAATTCCAGGTAGGTTAAAATCCTATTTGAAATAATCATAGATTTAAAATAAGTCACAAAAATACTATAGAGAACTTCCATGTACCCAAAACCCTGTTTCTCCCAATGGTGGCAGCTGACATAAAGTGTCCTATTGGTGGACACAGTACAATTAATTAGACCACAATTTTCTGGTCTTTCATAGTTCACCAGAAAAATCTATTTTTGAAAATTAGTATTATAACAGTTTTAGGTGATAATAATGGAGAACATATTCATGACCTCAGAATAAAGAAAGATTTCTTGAGTAAGACAGAAGTACAAAGAATAAAGGAAAATAGCTCTGGTCAGTGTGGCTTAGTCGGCTGGAACATCATCCCGCAGGCAGAAGGGTAGTAGTTTCCACCCCAGTCAGGACACATGCCCGGACGCAGGCCCCAGTAGGGGCACATACAAGAGAGCAACCAGTTGATGTTTCTCTGTCCCTCTCTTTCTCCCTCCCTCACTCCCTCCCTCTCTCTCTAAAAGCAATAAAAAAGTGTCCTCAGGTAAGGAAAAAAAGAAGAAAGGAAAATAATGATAGATTTGGCTCCATTAAAATTAATAACTTGTGTTCATCTGGAGGCACCATTATAATTGTGAAAACACAAACCATGAATAGAGAAAAAAACATTTTTGATGTGTGGAGCTAATATGTTGAACATATAAAATGCCTGTGAATCAATAAAAAACATTAAAAATATTCTAATGGAAGAATAGGCAAAATATTTGAACACATACTTCACAAAAGAAGAAACCCCATGAAAAAAAACACACGCAGATCCACCAGCAGTACATGCAGGACAGGCGTACCAACAGGCTCAACAAGGCGTGAGAACAAAGTGTGCCGAACACAGCGGGGCACAGCAGGGTGCGTTCGGAAACTACCCGCTGGTGCAGTGAGGGCAGGGCAGGGGATGGGGGGGGCAGTGGGACACCAGCAACACGAGGCTGGTTTCAGCATTTTCACTGCCAGTCTCCCCTTCAAGGTTTTAAACAAGCAACGAATACATACATACATACATAGCTGTCATTCGGAGCACAGCGGCAGCATTCCAGAAGCCTGTAGAGCAGTGTTAAGGTACTGTCCTGTGGCCGCCTCTTGCAGAATTTCCAAATCACAGCACAGGAAACACAAGGTGCTCTACAACTCTCAGCTGCTGTTTCAGCACCGCCTCTACGCAGACCTGGAGACCATCCTGTACCATATGCATCTCTTCAAGCCAGTGTCCCAGCTCATGAAGCAATTGGAGCTCTACCTCCGCAACACCATGATGCAGAAGGCCTTCCAGGCCCTGACCAGGTAGGCACCCCAGCCTGCTGCGGGATGGCAGCTGCTGGCCTGCCTGTGGTGGCGACCATGGGCAGTGCATGCCCTTAGGGGTGCAGTTGTTATTCACACCCAGAGAAGCTGAGCCAGGGGCAGAGTGCTGTTCCAAGGAACCCCAAGCCTGTGTCATTTCCAGTATTGCACATGCTCTCCGAGAGGGTTTCAGAAACATATGGGTGAAATGAAGACAGTTTATTCAAACACGTATCACATGAACCTGCCTGCTGTATTTGGAGAATATCCCAGGATAACCTGAGAGATGAGCAATTGGTTAAAACCCATTTTCCCAGTGAGCGATGGGGAACCTCCAGATCCACCAGGCCAAGAGCAGCTTTCCCTCTCAACCAAATGTTTGCCCTTCTGTCTGCTTCTTCCCTGCTCCCCTGTTTCACCCTCCCTCCCTTCCTATTCCTCAGAAAGCCCTTCTCCAGAGATCGGGATCTTCCATGACTTGCACTGCTTTGCCTGTGCTGGTCCTTCTGCTCTTACACTGGTGACCTCCCAGGCCGTCAGTGGTGGGCACTCCCCAACCCTGGGAAGCTGGGTGCTTGGCCTGCGGGGTTGCACAGCTCACACTTGCCTGCAGAGCTCCTCATTTGTGTATAGAATGGCCACTGTGTCATGCCTGCTCTAGGAGGAGAGCTAAGAGAAGCAGACCCTGTTCAGAAGAGGAGATAGACAATGAAGAGTACAGTGGGGGCCGTGTGAGCCCTGGGCACACCATAACCGCAGGGCTCAGGCCAGACTCTACACTAGGGAGGTGGCACAGTGTGGGCACTGGACAAGGGCTGGGTCCAGCCAGGTCTGGGCATTCGGCAGCTCTGCCACTCAGCACAGAGGCTGGCACGGCAATGCTGCCAGTGGTAGAAGTTATGGGTCTCTGGCAGGCAGGAGTGAGCAGCTAGGGACCGCACTGCCCAGGCCTAAGGAGTGGTGGAGGCACAGATAAAAGAAGAGTTGCTGATGGGTCTCAAAGGCTGGGCAGGCTGCCCCCCATCACCCCATGAGCCTGCTGTGTCTCCCACCACCTCCAGACACGTGCTGTGAGAGGGAGAGAGTTTGCTGTTGCTTTAGGACACTGAGCTGCCTTCCTGAGTCCCTGCCAGGCAGAACTGGGCCTGCAGTCAGATGGTGGGCAGCCACAGGGACTCGCCCAGGCCCATGGCAGCAGTTGGAGTGGCTCTGGGCACACCGTACCTTCCTGAACGCTGCCCACCCTCATCAGAGCCCCCACCCCAGAGCACATGCTGTCCATCACACAACTGTCACTATCAGTTACCTTTTACTCTACAACTTTATAGAAAAATCACGGTTTTATAGACTTAGAACTAGAACTCAGATGGGAAACATTAACACACACATTCTGTTCCAGAAACATGTTAATAACTTTAAAAAATAAGTAACTCTGTCCTTACCGCCAACTCTTACTAAGTGGGAGGAAGCTTGTTCTTTTGTGTGACTGGTGGTTTGTTTTGTGCTGGGCAATCTTCAGCAGGACGGCTGATCAGGGGGGTGTGAGGAGAGTGTGCCAGGAACTCGCCCAGGCCCATGGCAGCAGTTGGAGTGCTCCTGGGCGCACTGCACCTTCCGCAGGAAGTCTCCCACAGGAAAACTGAGAAAACGCTACTGGATGATCATGATGCGACAATAGCACCACTTTTTATTCCCAGGCCTTCCATTACCAAGAAGCTCAAAGAATTCTAAATGAGCAATTTTATGAATCTTACTCAACTTCTTAAAAATTAGAGTTATATGAACGTAGGTAAAATGCAAAGGTGAATACTTGCAAGCAGTGGGACATAATGGACAGAATTATACTATGTTTTCCATAAATGCACAGCTATTAATATTTAAATTTAGGGCAAAAGAGGTTTGCTTGACATTATGAGCACAGCCTGGATTCCCCCTCTGACTGTAGAAGAGCTCAGAGTTGCAGTGTTATCCTGTGTTGGTGGGTGTAGTCATTCATTCATTCATTCAACTAATTTTAATTAAATATATTGTATGAGCTGTCCCCAGTTCCCCCTCTGCTCTGGGGGAAGAAGGCCAAGTGACACCTGATGGGGACGGTTTCCCAGATTAAGGCCTGCACTTCCATGCCTTAGAGCCCCCGAGGGACATCGGAGCCGGGCAGATGGAGTGGGACACAACAAAAGAGGATGGTGGCATGGCCCACGGTGGAGGCATCCCACCAGTACTGCATCGCCAACCCACTGAGGCACCCCAGCCTAGGGGTCCTACCCAGGCTTCATAAGGACTACACCTGCCCACGTGGCTGGCTGTGCCTGGAAGCAGGATTTGCCAAATCTTCCAGCACAGCACCATGAGGTGCACACCTGCTCGAGGATGATGGCAGGAAACCCCACCTGGGGCTGTGGGCACCAGGCAGCTGAAGCTCACCATGTGAGGGGCACAAATGCAGTCTCCCTTGTCACTTGGTTCCAGGTGAGAGGACAGGAATGTGCAGGAGCCCCATGGAGGAGACGGAGGGTGGTGCCTCTACTCTTAAGCAGCCCAGGCCTGCAGTGCAAAAGAGACCCTGGATCGGGTGCTCACCAGAGACTGAACAGAAGCTCTACTCTGGGAGACAGGACCCTCCTGTCTGGGCCCTTCTCGCCCTCTTCCAGCTGTCCCACCCAGCTGGGTCCAAGGTGTTCCCAAGAGGAAGTGGGGGACAGAACCCCATTCCCACTGAGTCCCATTTTCTATGGTATCCCCCAGCTCCCCACTGCCTGGGCCTGAGCTGTCCCCACAGAGAAGGGGTGACAGCATTCCCCAGGCTGGGTGGGAGCCACCCCAGGTTTACCTCCTGTAACCTTCAAAGAGCCCCTTCCTGCCACTAAGATGACAAGGAGGGACAGAAGAGAATGGGCGGCTCCCAGACACTTTCCTTCCCCTTCCTACAAACACACACTTACCAGCCAATCCACCTCGCCGAGTTTTCATTTCCTCTTGTAAAATGGGGATGGCTTGACCTGTCTTGCAAGGTAGGTGAGGCTGAGTAGGATGGCCTTTCTGTGTTCCAGGATCTACTGCATCTGCCGTTACAGCACCAACCTCAGGGAGGTGGTTGCCAGAGACCTGCTGCCTTCCTCCGCCATGATCAAACACTTGAGCCAGGAGTTTGGGTTGCCCGTTTCACAAGAAGAGCTCATAGACAGAAAATTTTTGGCCATCTTACCTCATCCTGCCCCCAATCTCGAGGACTTTCGAAGCCAGAATTCCACCCATACTTTTGACATTGCCTCCCATCAGAAGAAGTACCTGCAGTGGCGGAACACTGTGATATTGAAGAATAGAGGCCAAAAGCACAGTCTGATCCAGGTGGCACTCTCTCCTCTTTGGGGTCAGGGGTCCCAGGCCTTTGCCCCACCTGAGCTGTCCAGTCACATGCCAGGAGATATAGGGCTGATGGCCAGACCTTGAACCGGGCATCTGCCTCTGGCCTGTCTCTACCCTCCCACCCCGGGATCCCAGGCAGAATGAGCAAGAAGTGCTGGGTGCAGGGCTGAACCACAGCAGAAGCACTCATTCATAGCCCTAGTGTCCCCCATCCTCCTGAAAGGGGAAAAGGAATGCTCTTAGGTGTATTACCTCTGGCCCCACAGTTCATCCTTGGGGAAGAAGTGTCTCACACATGTGTGTGTGTGTGACTATGTAACATCTTACTTAAGCTGCTAGGGGCATGGATATGATATGATGTCCCAGAAACACAGGAGATAAACTAAATCTGCATGAGAAAATGTAAAAGGAAGACAGTAAGAGGCTGAGAGGCTGATGAGGTGATGGAAAGCTGGGAGTTATGTGGCCTGAATGGCCAACAAGAACCTCCTTCACCCCATACCAACCAAAAAGACAAAAACACCAGCATCCAAGGTGTGTCTTCAAGTTGCCCAGTCACAGTCTGTCTGTATGAAGCCACCCACCTCACTCCCACACCAATCTCTAGTTTTTAAAAAAAAAGTCCCTTAGGAGTGTGTAAGCATGTGTGTGTTCTTTATGATACCCACTAGGTCAATCTCTGCTGTTGAAAATGGTGAGATTTCACTCTTTTTTATGGCCAAGGAATATTACATAGTATATATGTACCACTTCTTTTCTATCCAATTATCTATTGATGGGCACATGGCTGTTTCCATGTCTTGGCTATAGTAAGAACATAAGGGTGCATATTTATCTTTACAAGTTAGTGTTTTGGCTTTCTTTGGATAAACACCCAGAAGGGGAATTGCTGGGTCATATAGTAGTTCTATGTTTAATTTTTTGAGGAACTCCACAGTGGCTGAACCAATTTGCAGTCCTACAAACAGTGCACAGGGGTCCCCTTTTCTCCACGTCTTCACCAACACTTGTGGTTTGCTGACTTACTCATGATAACCATTCTGACATTTTTTAATTGAACTGTTTGTATTTTTGGTGTTAAGTTGTATGAGTTTCTTGTAGATTTTGGATAATAACCCCTTATCAGATGTATCGTTGGTGAATAACTTCTCTCATTCAATAAGTTGTCTTTTGGTCTTATTGACAGTTTCTCTCGATGTTTATTTTTTTCTTTGTAATCCTGTCAGCTGTTGCTTAATAAATTTTGAGACTATTGTTAGGTGAACAAATGTTCATGATAGTTATATCTTCTTGTTTTTTTCTTCAATATACAATATCTCCTGTTGCCTCTTTTGATAGATTTTTATCTTGAGTTACGTGGTTAGATATTAAAATTGCTACTCTAGATTTTCTGGTTGGGCTTTCTGGTCCTTTTTGCCTAGTTTATATTCTTCCCCCTTTCAATTTCAAAGCCCTATCTTTTTATCTAAAGCAGTTTTTTTAATATGTAATCGTGAGCATCTTTTTTATTAAATGTACTGGGGTAAGATTGGTTAGTAATATTGTATAAGTTCCAAGCATACATTTCTATGACACTTGATCTGTATATTGCATTGTGTGCCCACCACCCAAAGTCAGATCATCTTCTGTCCCCATTTGTTTGGCCCCCTTATTACTGCCCCACCTCCCCTTCCCTTATGACAGCATACTATTAGCTTAAAAAAATCCAATGTGAAATTCTTTAATTGGCAAACTTAACTCATTTAGTATAACTACTATTAGATTAGGATTTCAGGGGCCACCTCATTTTCTCTGTACAGAGTGCAAGGTAATCAGCAGAACAACTGTTGACCAGAACTTCAACTGTAAACTCTTCTCCCCCAGCTGTAATCCACCAGCTCTAGGATTTTGAAGGAACAAGGACTTCTGGTTTTATTAATGGCAGACTGACTAATTCAGACCACCCTTCCCAGAAGACAACCAGAGAAACTGGACAAAATGCTAAATATTCCAACTGAAGCTTCATGTGGGCCATGACAAGAGCCTAGCTTAGACAGCCCTGTCTTCTCAAAACTGCTCCAAAGCCTGAGTTGGGTCCCTTATCCCACAGCCCTTGGCTTGCCCTCGCCTTCAGTCCTGTTGCTGCAAGCCACGACATCTTGTTCCTGGACCAACTTTCCTCTCATGTGTGAAACACAGACTCATTTAGTCCTTCTCTGGATTACTTTGCACTCTCTTACAGAAATTCCTCCAAGATTCCAAAGTCAAGACACTGGGGCTTGGACCAAAGTCATGTTAATAAGTGAGTCAACCTCACTTATTAAAGGTCAACCTTTTGAGTTAAAAAATTTTTAAGCAAAAGGTAGTTATTTTCCTGGAGGTTAGTAGGCAAATGAAAGGCAAGCTGCACAGTAGTTAACAATTAAGAGTAAAACTCTTCCTCTTCCTCTTTTTTGGGTCCCAGCTACCTGTCTCTGAAACACCCTATTTTACCTTTTATCTCTTGCCTCATTGCTGTTTTCACTCACAAAGGGAGCCAACAGACCATCGTGAGGCTCCGGAGAGAAGAGGGTAGCCTTCCCCGTGCACACAAGCGTGGTCGAGGGAGGAAGTCCTTGCGCTTCAGCTCACCTCTGCCCTGCACGCACCATGAGAGCCTCAAGCCTCTGCTACTTCCCACCATCTGAGCTATAAGCTCTGGCCAAATTCTGTGTGTTCCGGTTCCAATAACCTTAGGCAAATGTCAAGTTTCTGGCCCACTGACTTCTTCTGTTGACAGTAAAGGACTGGACTAGATGGCCCTCTGGCAAGGCTCTGTGATAAAACAGCAGCCCCAGTATTCAAGAATCAATACCTGCAGCCATGTCCCAGAGCTAGACACCAGCAGGGAAGTGGACACCAGCAGGTAGCTGGCAGTGAGGGGCACTTGTGCGAGTAATGACTGGTGTCTTTTTCTTCAGAAAAATATCATGAGAGCCTACAAGGTCAGCAAGGAGCCTCCAAAGTCTGTGGTAAAGGTGATTCGGAGTTCAGCCCCTACCAAAGATGCTGTCTATAACTATAGTATTCAGACTCTGAATTCCACAGAGTTTGCCAAGAAGGAGCTGTATCGAGAGATGGCCAAGGTGAGTGAGAGGCTCGGAGAGTAGGAAACAGACACATGCTTATGCTCCAGACAGGATAACAGCAGTTGGCTAATGCCATGAACGGTTTCCTCTCGGACCATCCAGCCTGGAGGTCCATGGGAGATCTCCAGTGTATGGACAAGAGCCACCCACTTAGGGGGAGTATACAAGGGACTAGGTGCTGGGAAAGGGGCTCTGTTCCCACACTAAATGTGAACCCTCCCCATGTAAGGGTGGTCTGAGAGGTCCTCAGCCTACACTCAGATATTCACAGCTGCAAACCCCCGCAGGTTCTCCACCACGACAGAGCATTTTGTTGCTGCTCATGCAAAGCAGCTGTTACCCTAAAGGAAAAGCTGGCCAAGGCTTTCTCATACGGTGGATTTAGAAAGGGCTCCTTCTGTCAAGGGGGACAGCAGAATGAGCCTCCCGGCGCCGCTGCCCAGTTCAGTGCGTGTGGATGCCCCGTGTACATTGTCAGGAACGGTCGCTATGCCCTCGGCTGTCGCTGACACCTACCTGGGAACCCAAGGCTCAGTCGGGCCTCTCCTAGTCCATCACTACCCTTCCAACCACATGCTGCCCCTCATTTCCAGGAGCCGAGCAGAAGATTCACATATTCACAGAAGTACCTCTCGGCCATGGTGGAGCCCCAGGATTCAAAGGAAGAGGAGAAAAAAGCCCAGAAGAAGTCCCGCCAGGCCTGGCTCACAGCCAATGGATTCCAAGTGACAGGCCTTCAGAGGTCCACCGAAAGGGACCACCTCAGGCTGCTGCCCATTGGCGCCACCACAGAGCTGACTGAGGTCCACAGGCAGGAGGAGCAGGGTGTCAGATGGGGGCTCCCTAGGACCTTCCTCCTGACTTATTGTTTCTGGTTTAGGAGTGGAGGGAAAACGCACTGTTTGCTAATGTGCTGCAGCCTGTGCTGGACCGAGACAGGTGGAGCTGGGACCGGCGCCATCAGGACTTTGATCTGTACAAGAAGCCACCGCCTTTCCTCAAGCTGCCTGCTGCTCCATCAATGGGCCGGAAACAGGTAACAGATGAGACCTATGCAAGCTGAGCCTCCTGACACTGTTGGTGGGCAGGAGCTCTGTGCAGCTCTCCAGCTTCACAGCATCCTTGCTTTAGATCCTGGGAGAGGGAATAAGGTTCAGAATGCATCTGGTGTAACAGACTGACTGCTGGCTGGAACTCAGGAGACCTGAATTCTAGTTCCAGCCGTAATATTAACTCGCTGTGTGACTTGGGACAGGTCCCTGCCTTGTTCTAGGCCTTGTTTCTTAAGTATACGAAGGGAAGTTGGACAATAGATCCAGAGGCTTTCTGAGCTTCTCCACTGTGTTACCCCCGACTGGGCCCTGGAGGCCCAGCCAACAGCTGGGGCAGAGGGTCTGGGACCTTCCAGCTCCCTTCCAGCTCAGACGCTGCCACCTCCCTCTGTGGGTGAGACTGGAGTCTTGCTACATCCATCCTTCTGAGTCCCCTTTTCTTTCTTTCCATCCCTCTGTTTATAAAGAAAGACCTAAAAATCATTTATTGGTTGATAGAGAACCACAATCTGTTGACTAACAGAGCCAGAATGTTTGTTCAGAGAATAGGGATGGGTTTTCTGGCAACAAGATTTGCCACCAGAAAACCCTTTCCCAGAAATCAAGAAGGAATAAGTGGGATGCATTTTCTTCCTCTGCCCACACCCATGGGCAGCTCCATGGCTAGGAGGAAGGGCATGAAGCTCCTGAAATCCCTCTCCCCTCACTGGGACCTTGCTGTCTCCCCACAGAACAGGCCCCAGGCTCTGGGACTGTGCACAGGTCTCCTGCTCCCTGTTGGTGTCTCAGGCTGAGTCCCAGCCAGGAGGGCCAGGCTGTCCTCACTGGCCAGAGTGTGCTGCTGGGCTCCACAGCAGGCTTTCCCAGCACAAGTTTCCTGGGCATCTCAAGTAGCCCGTGCACACTGCTGAAAGCATGAAACAAGTATGTGATGGTGCCTTCCCTTCCCACAACGTGTTTAAGAAAAACTCAGAAATGGCAGGTGAAAAAGGGAGCCTTGAACGGTGACCCCAGCCTTTTAAGCTCAACTGGAAGAAGAGAGAACCTGTTGCTGCCTGAGGACTTCCATGCCACAGGGCCCAGAGTGAAGCCCCCATTCCTGAGGGCTGCCCCGAGGGGGTGGGGTCTGTGTGCTTTCCCAGCTTCCCCGGCAAAGGAGCTCCTTTCCCTGGGTGAGAAGATATGCGCTCTTCTTTTTGTGCAAAATGCCTCCTGGCCAGCATTTAAGAACTTGAATTTCATTGGAAAGTTATTTCTTAAATCACAGTATTTGTTAACTTTCACCTTTTGAAAATTAGTTACCAAAACCCTGGCAGAGTGTCCAGGCCGACCCCACTAAGCCAGCTCGGGTCTCAGCATCCCCCATCTTCTCCTTGACTATTCCTCTCATCGCTGCAGATTGCAGCTTCTACTTGGAGGAAAAGAAGTGAGCCTGGCTTCCTCCTCCCACCTCAAGGCAACAGCTACAATGAGCTCTTTGGCGGGGGGGGCCCAAACCACCTAGAAACTGGACCAAATCTTGAAACTTGCCAGCGTGCTGACACCCAGGACATCCAGCAAGTAATGGCAGAGGGGAGCCTGGAAAAAGGCACAGGCCTGGTAGTGCCATCTATAGACACCTTTCCCCCCTCACTTCAAGAGTACAGGGCAGTCCTTGCAAAGAAAGGCAAGAGAAAGCCCAGGTGGGAACAAACATATGTTGTCATATACCAAGCAACACAGTTTTCCACCCATCACCTGGGAAGGATCAACGATTGGGCTCATAACCCCCATGGCCCTGCACTGGGCACCTGCCCCTCAGCTTTTAGGGCCCTCTTCTCGCAAGGCAAGGACAAAAGGGACTGGAGGCCATCACCAAAGGATAGTTCTCAGGATCATGCTCTCATCCATTAAAGGCTGGCAGCGCAAGCCCTGGTCTCCACTGTGAGGTCTCCTAAACTAGCAGCATACCCTCAAATACCAGGTCTCAGGGATCCATTCTCTGTCTCTGTTCAGAATCCAGGGTCATGTCAGACAGCAGTGCACACAGGTAAAAAACTAGAAGAGGCTCCCTCAGGCCAGGAGAAAGACCTCCAGGTGAAAACTGGGAAGAAATAGTTCCATTTAGAGTAACCCCATGTTCTACACCTGGAGCAAGCAAGAATTGTCCAGCAATGGGCTGTGGCCTGGGGGCTAGTGGCAGCAGGGACCACCGTCCCTGCACTTCAGGGCATCCAGCCAGGACGGTGGGCACAGAAGTATGCTCTCCTCTCTAGAACCTGCTGGGACACTTCCTTAGTCTGTTCATCTACATTTTCTGGAGAATCTGGGAGGGAAAACAAGACAGTTGGTGATCTTTCTGCATTGTGATAAGAGAAATACTGCTGGATCAATTTTTCCAACAAAGTCAGCCCATGGGTGGCCCCACCACCCCTCCCAACACCCAGGAAGTGATTTGGGGCTGTAGATAGAGGCTTCACTCTGAATAGCAAAGGGCTCATCCTGTTAATTCCTAAAAACTCCAAATTGTGGTGGGTAGGGGTACAGAGAGGCATTTGGTCAACAAATGGCCCCTTCCCCTATGAATCAAGCCTATTTCAGGAGAACCCATTTCCTCGTGCTCCACAGCACGCTGATGGTCCGGTCAGCACCTTGGACAGTGCCTGGCCAGCGGCCAGGGGCCAGGAGCTGCACAGAATTCTGTTCCCCTCTCCACCACCTCTCTGCAGCAGGGCTAGGCCCCGCAGGAGACACGTGACACGAAGCCTCAAAGCCAGCAGAACTGTAAGGGTCAAAAGGAGAACCTGAGCTGCACATTCTAAGACAGGGCTATGAAAGAAGAAGAGTATTCCAGACAAACGGAGCAGCACAAGCAAAGTCCCCGGATGGTCTAGGGTAGCAGCCTGGTACATCCATAAGGGCAGCCTCATTTCTGCCATGCCGCAGGGGTGAAGGCAAGGGCGCCACCTTCCTCTGTGAGCTGCCCTGGGCAGATGCCAGCAGGGCCCGAGCAAGGGCGCTGACAGGGCTCTCCTCCGCAGGCCCTGCTCCTGCCCCACTCCTGCCCCGCTGCAGGTGAGCATGTCTCAGCCGGCCCTCCACACTCGAGGCAGGAGTCCGTGCGCGGCGCAGTCGCCTGCAATCAGCCCCTCTCCTCCCTCCTCAAAGCAGCCCTGCTCACGCCTGTTTAGCTGAGATAAGGTGGCGAGATTCTGGAAATGAGCTTCTGTGCAGAAGATGTCGGCCAGCGGAACCAAGGTCGGAGAGAATGCTGGGATCTCTGGGCCATCGGGCACCCTTTCCCTGGTGACTGACCTCGAAGCTTCAAAGAACTGCTGGGCAGCCTGTCTGTGGACAAGAGGCCTGGCTCAGAAGTCACCGTCTTAGGTTCCATTTCCAGCCCTGAGCCCAACTACCTGTACCAAGGGCAAAATGCTCAACATCTTTGAGCCTCAGTTTCCTCCTCTGTGAGACAGACTTCACAATTCTTGTGACCACAGGCTGCTGTGGGCCAATGCCAAATCCCCAGCAGGCACTCAGTGACATCACGCACCGCCTTCAACAGGGTGAGGACAGACAGGGTGAGAGCACCAGGTTTGGGACTTGTCACTAACCCACCCTTTTCTGTCAGGTGGGAAGACAAAAGGGAGCGGCCCTGTGTCCTGAACAACGTGGACCCTCCCACCAGAGCTGGCAGTGCCCACCACAGGCCACAGCCACAACTCAGCACACCTGCCCACCGCCGGGTCCGCTGCTGCACAGAGCCTGCGCTTCACCCTCTCTGGCCCAACTAGGGGCCAAGGCCATCGACTTGCCCAGCCCCTCCCACCTGAGATTTCTCCATGACGGATGACCTCCACCCCAACCACCAGGCCTCATTAAAGTGCAGCAGGACAAAGCCAGTGTAAGGCTGGCTGCCTGTGTACGGGCTGGACAGGGGTGGGGGTGGGGGGCTGTGCAGGCTCACCTCACGGTCATGGTTCTGGAGCCTGCTCTCACAAAGCAGCTGCCGTGCCGTACAGGTTGATGTGGATGCTGGCCACCTGCTTCAATGGTCTGGGAACACAGAGGCCCAGGGTGGAGGCCTGCTACCCAAGACCCTCCGCACACACTGTCCCACCCCAGACACATCTTTGCCCACATCGGAGCCTCCCTTTGTGCTTCAGGGTAGAGGGGCTAATGCTATTTCCCAGTGGGTTGTGGGAGGTCGGTTCATGGCTGCCTTCCGTTTTCCCTTCACTCTGTCTAGATTTGGGCAAGGTCAAGGCAAGACCAGGTTCCAGGAACCTGGCTGAGACCAGAAGCTGGGACTTAAAACACCTTCAGCAGCAGAGCCTCACAGACCAGGCCCCAAGATTAGGGCTCTGGCAGGGCTGCCCTACCAAGTGCATGGAGCCTCTCTTCACCTGGAGGGTGCTCACCCAGCAGGGGCTCCCACCCAGCTAGCTGAGAGGTCCTTAGGTCAGGCAGCCACAGGAGCCCAGCCTCCCCACCCCACCCTTCCATGGCGAGTTTAACACTTCGTAAACCATGGTCTCATAGATGCTGACCCCATCTCCTTGACCCCTAGAGTGGAGGGCCTACCATCTCTGGGTCTGTCAGGGGCCCAACTACCTTGCCAAAGTGGAGCAGCAACATCTCCAAGTACAACCAAAGTAATACATGCTCCCGAGCTTGCTGGCACTGTCCTGGCAGCCAGAGAAGGACTCAGCCCAGCACCTCCTCCCTATGGTGCCCATCCTGTTTCACCCCCTGCACAGGGCACGGCAGGGGGTCCAGGGCCAGCCCTGCTACCATGCAGGACAGTGTCCGTCATGACAGGTTGGAGAGAAGGGACATCAGCTGTCCTTAAAATTGGCTGATCTTTCCCTGCATCCCCTGATCTCATCTCTTTTGGGAAGGAGGTATCCAACAGGCTACCCTGCTGGGCTCACTCGCCGTAGCAATGGGGTGTGCAGCTCCAAGATTCCCTGTCAGCCCCAGGTCTATGGTTCAGCTCAAGGAGTCCCGAAGCCTCTGGTCAGGAGTCTGC